AAGATTCTAGTTTATGATATGATTTAAAAACTGTAATATGATATTATTGAAATTTTCAGGAAAAAATTATTGAAGAAGAAATTGTCAAATTTATAAATAAAAGAGAAATTTTCAAAAAATCATATTTTCTATATTTTTATGAATAATGATATGAAATATATGTTAAATTAAAGCTTGAAGATTCTAGTTTATGATATGATTTGAAAATTGTAATATAATATTATTGAAATTTGCAGGAAAAAATTATTGAAGAAAAAATTGTCAAATTTATAAATAAATGAGAAATTTTCAAAAAATCATATTTTCTATATTTTTATGTATAATGATATGAAATATATGTTAAATTAAAGCTTGAAGATTCTAGTTTATGATGTGATAAGAAAATTTTAATATGATATTATTGAAATTTTCAGGAAAAAATTATTGAAGAAGAAATTGTCAAATTTATAAATAAAAGAGAAATTTTCAAAAAATCATATTTTCTATATTTTTATGTATAATGATATGAAATATATGTTAAATTAAACCTTGAAGATTGTAGTTTATGATATGACACAAAAATTGTAATATGATATTATTGAAATTTTCAGGAAAAAATTATTGAAGAAGAAATTGTCAAATTTATAAATAAAAGAGAAATTTTCAAAAAATCATATTTTCTATATTTTTATGTATAATGATATGAAATATATGTTAAATTAAACCTTGAAGATTGTAGTTTATGATATGACACAAAAATTGTAATATGATATTATTGAAATTTTCAGGAAAAAATTATTGAAGAAGAAATTGTCAAATTTATAAATAAAAGAGAAATTTTCAAAAAATCATATCTCAAAAAGTACTTGAGATATCAAGACAATTTAAACATCATTTAGGAGTAAATTTAATCTAGTTTGAGCACCCAAAAAATAATTCCTTCGTTTTTACAAATCCCAAAGATACGATTTTTTTATTCAATTTTGAGATTATTGAGGTTAAGTTGATAAAAGGTAAATTAAAAAAATCGTATCTCAAGAACGCATTGAGATATCATCATGAAATAAAAAACATTTTAAAGCAAATTTGATCAAGATTTAATGTGCCATAAATAATTTCTTATTTTCCATAAACATCGCTTTATGATTTTTTAAATCCAACTCTGCATGTTTGATTGTTGGATATGAAAGATAAACTTTAAAAAATCGTATCTCAAGAACGAATTGAGATATCATCATGAAATAAAGATCATTTTAAAGCAAATTTGATCAAGATTTAATGTGCCATAAATAATTTCTTATTTTCCATAACCATCGCAGTTATGATTTTTTAAATCCAACTCTGCATGTTTGATTGTTAGATATGAAACTTAAATTTTGAAAAGTTGTATCTCGAGAACGAATTGAGATATCATCATGAAATAAAAAACGTTTTAAAGCAAATTTAATAAAGAATTAATGTGCCATAAATAATTTCTTATTTTCCATAAACATCGTTGTTATGATTTTTTAAATCCAACCCCTTTTTATTTGTTATAGATTTGAAATATAAATTTAAAAAAATCGTATCTCAAAAACTAACGGAGATATCAAATTGAGATAAGAAACATTTTAAAGCAAATTTAATCTAGTTTTAGTAGACCAAAAATTGTTTCTTAGTTTTCATATTTGACGTGGTTATAATTTTTTGAATCCGACTCTGCTTGGTTGAATTTAATAATGTTGTTGGCATTTTAAAAGTGAAAATTAGAAAAATCGTATCTCAAAAACTAACAGTGATATTAAATTGAGATAAGAAGCATTTTAAAGCAAATTTTCGTATCTCAAGAACGAATTAAGATATTACCATGAAATATGCACCATTTTAAAGACAATTTAGTTTAAATTTAGTACCTAGAGCAAGATTTCTCTATCTTTCCAAGTTTTAATGTTATGATTTTTTAATCAATTTTGAGATTATTGAGGTTAAGTTGATAAAAGGTAAATTAAAAAAATCGTATCTCAAGAACGAATTGGGATATCATCATGAAATAATAACCATTTTAAAGCAAATTTTATGAAGATTCTTTGCCCCATAAATCATTTCTTACTTTCCATTAACATCGTTGTTATGATTTTTTAAACTCCATTATGCATCTTTGATCTGAGGTTAACTTTTATTATTTCATTTCTAAAGTCATAGAGATGCTTTTTGTAAAAACTTTAAGGTCTATTTCCGGTAGAAAAATGAATTTTAAATCGAAAATAAAGAGTAACTTATTATCGTATTATCTTTCATTCTTGAGATATTCTCTTTTAAAGCAATCAAATTCGACGTTTTTCGCAAAAATTAAAAATTCCAAGGTGGATATCTCAAGAATGAAGGGTGATATCAAAAAATGTTATTCTTCTATTTTGATTTAGAAATCATTTTTCTATACGACTAGTGTATAATATTTTCTATAAAAATGATTGTTATTAAACGCCATTCGAAAAAGTGAATAAAAACGGGTGCTTTATAAGATTAACTTTTTTATTTCATTTCTCAATTCATAGAAATGATTTCTGCAAAAACTTTAAGGTGTATTTCGGGTAGAAAAATGAATTTTAAATCGAAAATAAAGAATAACTTTTTATCGTATTGGCTTTCGTTCCTGAGATATCCCCTTTTAAATGCATCAATTTCGAAGTTTTTTGTAATAATTAAGAATTTAGAGTCAAATATCTCAAGAACGAAGGGTGATATCAAAAAATGTTATTCTTCTATTTCGATTTAAAAATCATTTTTTTATACGATTAGTAACTAAGTTTTTCGTTAAAAGTGATTCTTAAGGAGCACCATTCAAAAAGCGTGAACTTTGCAAGATTAACTTTTATTATTTCATTTCCCAATTCATAGACATGATTTTTGGATAAACTTTAAGATTTTCATGTAGAAAAATGAATTTTAAATCGAAAATAAAGAATAACTTTTTATCGTATTATCTTTAGTTATTGAGATATTCTCTTTTGAAGCAACCAAATTCGACGCTTTTTGTAAAAATTAAAAATTTAAAGTCAAATATCTCAAGAACGAAGGATGATATCAAAAAATGTTATTCTTCTATTTCGATTTAAAAGTCATTTTTTTATACGACTAGTGACTAAGTTTTTTGTTAAAAGTGATTGTTAAGGAGCACCATTCAAAAAGCGTGAATTTTGCAATATTAATTTTTATTTCATTTCCCAATTCATAGAGATGATTTTTGGATAAACTTTAAGATGTTTTTCATGTAGAAAAATGAATTCTAAATCGAAAATAAAGAATAACTTTCTATCGTATTATCTTTCGTTCTTGAGATATTCGAAGAAGATAGAGATATTGAAGATAACGAAGTGAAGGTTAACTTTTATTATTACATTTCCCAATTCATATACATGATCTTTGCATAAATTTTAAGGCCTATTTCCGGTAGAAAAATGAATTTTAAATCGAAAACAAAGAATAACTTTTTATCGTATTATCTTTCGTTCTTGAGATATTCTCTTTTAAAGCAATCAAATTCGACGTTTTTTGAAATAATTAAGAATTTAAAGTTAAATATCTCAAGACCGAATTGAGATATCAAGTTGAAATAAAGAACATTTTAAAGCAAATTTGATGACGATTTAATGTGCCATAAATAATTTCTTAATTTCCATAAACATCGTTGTTATGATTTTTTAAACCCAACCCTGTATATTTGATTGTTACAGATATGAAATATAAATTTTAAAAGATTGTATCTCAAGAACGAATTGAGATATCAAGTTGAAATAAAGAACATTTTAAAACAAATTTCATGAAGATTTAATGTGCCATAAATAATTTCTTATTTTCCATAAACATCGCTGTTATGATTTTTTAAATCCAACTCTGCATGTTTGATTGTTAGATATAAAACATAAATTTTAAAAAGTCGTATCTCAAGAATGAATTGAGATATCATATATAAGTTGTATAACAAAAGCTGATAATATCATAAGAATTCATTAAAGCTACGATTTATTATGATTTTTTGAAAATGATTGTTTATCCGAAAAAATGCGAAAATGCCTTGAGATGTTTAAAAATTAATATCTCTAAAACAAAAAGATATTTTGAAAATCTGTTTTGTTCATTGGAAAGCTTATAATTTGTACTACAAATGCTGATAATTTCATAAGAATTCATTCAAGCTACGATTTATTACGATTTTTTGAAAATGATTGTTTTCCTAACAAATGCGAAAATGCTTTGAGATGTTTAAAAATTAATATCTCAAAACAAAAAGATATTTTGAAAATTTGTTTGGTTCATTGGAAAGCTGATAATTTGTATAACAAATGCTGATAATTTCATAAGAATTCATTAAAGCTACGATTTATTACGATTTTTTGAAAATGATTGTTTATCCTTAAAAATGCGAAAATGCCTTGAGATGTTTAAAAATTAATATCTCAAAAACAAAAAGATATTTTGAAAATCTGTTTCGTTCATTGGAAAGCTTATAATTTGAACTACAAATACTGATAATTTGATAAGAATTCATTAAAGCTACGATTTATTACGATTTTTTGAAAATTATGTTTAAAAATAAATATCTCAAAAATTATTATTTTAGATTATTTATTTAAGTAACTACATTTCCTCTTAGAATTTAATTTAAGTAAAATCTTATTATAAAAAAAAATATTAAAAATTGTAAAATTAAAATTAATTTAACATTACAGTCTTATTTTAATACTAACTATTATAATCGTGCGTTGAAAGCCACAAAATGATTTTATCCAAGTTTGTCTTCCTCCAAATTAAATTCGCCTCTGCCTTTTCGATCAGCTGGTTTATTAATCGACCGAAAACCGAGAATTCTTCTTTTCTCTTCGACACTAAACTTTTAATCTAAAATTAAATTAATTAATATATTGTGAAGTAAAATAAATTTTGTTCTTGTTCATGTTACATCGTCTAATTCTTCTTGTGTTGGATACAAGGTGATGCACTCGCGAATAATTCCAGACATTAATGTGGAACCCATGCTTAAAAAAAGATATAATTGTTAAAATTTTTGATTGTAATTATAGATTGGAAAATCTATCTTGGCCGGTGAAGGTGAGAATGAAACAATGGATATCTTAAAGGTAAGATTTGGGAATCGGAGAATGCTATGAGAAAACTTTTATAACAAAAGTTGTAGCAAATTTTATTGTTAACAATATTGCTTTCTTGCACTTTTGCTCTTAGAGACGTCAATATCGAAATATATACGACAATATGAAAATTTGTTACTCTCTCATGTTATTAAAGGTAACACTTGGGAATCGGAACTTGCTATAAGAAAACTTTTATAACAAAAATTGTTGCCAATTTTATGGTTAACAATAATGCTCTCTTGTACTTTTGCTCTTAGATGCGTTAATATCGAGATAGATACGAAAATATGAAAATTTTTTACTCTTTCATCTATTAAAGGTAACATTTGAGAATCGGAGTTTGCTATAAGAAAATTTTTATAACAAAAATTGTTGCAAATTTTATTGTTAACAATATTGCTCTCTTGCACTTTTGCTCTTAGATACGTCAATTAAACTAAGATTAGAACTAAAACTAGAACTAACACTAGAAACTTTCCGATTTTGCCGTGCGTCTTTTAATAAAAGGTTTGACGTTTCGGATGCCATGTTGCAACCTTCTTCAGAAACTGGTTCGAAGTGATAGATACGTGATAGATACGGAAATATGAAAATTTGATGAATTTGTTGCTTTTTCACGAGATTATAGGTAACATTTAGGAATCGCAGTATGTTACAAAAAAATTATTGGTTCAAAAGTTGTAGCAAATTTTATTGTTAACAATATTGCTCTCTTGCGCTTTTGCTCTTAGATACATCAAAATCGAGGTAGATCCGAAAATATGAAAATTTGATGAATTTGTTGCTTTTTCAAGTGGTTAATGGTAACATTTAGGAATCGCAGTATGTTACAAAAGAACTATTAGAACAAAAGTTGTAGCAAATTTTATTGTTAACAATATTGCTCTCTTGCACTTTTGCTCTTAGATACGTCAATATCGAGATAGATACGAAAATATGAAAATTTGATGAATTTGTTGCTTTTTCACGAGATTATAGGTAACATTTAGGAATCGCAGTATGTTACAAAAAAACTTCTAGCGCAAAAGTTGTAGCAAATTTTATTGTTAACAATATTGCTCTCTTGCACTTTTGCTCTTAGATACGTCAATATCGAGGTAGATACGAAAATATGAAAATTTGATGAATTTGTTGCTCTTTCACGTGATTGAAGGTAACATTTAGGAATCGCAGTATGTTACAAAAAAGCTTTCAGCACAAAAGTTGTAGCAAATTTTATTGTTAACAATATTGCTCTCTTGCACTTTTGCTCTTAGATACATCAATATCGAGGTAAATACGAAAATATGAAAATCTGATGAATTTGTTGCTTTTTCACGTGATTAAAGGTAACATTTATTAATCGCAGTATGTTACAAAAAAACTTTTAGCACAAAAATTGTAGCAAATTTCATTGTCAACAATATTGCTCTCTTGCACTTTTGCTCTTAGATACGTCAATATCGAGGTATATACGATAATATGAAAATTTGTTGCTTTTTCACGTGATTAAAGGTAACATTTAGGAATCGCAGTATGTTACAAAAAAACTTTTAGCACAAAAGTTGTAGCAAATATTATTGTTAACAATATTTCTCTCTTGCACTTTTGCTCTTAGATACGTCAATATCGAGGTTGATACGAAAATATGATAATTTGATGAATTTGTTGCTTTTTCACGTGATTAAAGGTAACATTTAGGAATCGCAGTATGTTACAAAAAAACTTTTAGCACAAAAGTTGTGGCAAATTTTATTGTTAACAATATTGCTCTCTTGCACTTTTGCTCTTGGATGCGTCAATATCGAGGTAGATACGAAAATATGAAAATTTGATGAATTTGTTGCTTTTTCACGTGATTATAGGTAACATTTAGGAATCGCAGTATGTTACAAAAGAATTGTTGGTACAAAAGTTGTAGCAAATTTTATTGTTAACAATATTGCTCTCTTGCACTTTTGCTCTTAGGTACGTCAATATCGGGATAGATACGAAAGTATAAAAATTTGATGAATTTGTTGCTTTTTCACGTGATTAAAGGTAACATTTAGGAATCGCAATATGTTACAAAAAAACTTTTAGCACAAAAGTTGTAGCAAATTTTATTGTTAACAATATTGCTCTCTTGCACTTTTGCTCTAAAATACGTCAATATCGAGATAGATGCGAGAATATGAACCAACCTGCAATAAACCAAAACTTACTACTTTTTGATCCTGTCCCAATCGGTTTTCAAGAAATTATAAGCAATATGTTGCCCAATAATACTATCAGTGATGCTAACAAAAATCCTTATCGCATCGTGCTTTCTAATTCCCGATTTTTCCGTCACAGCCCACTCCAAATATCGCCTCAAAATCCAAGGTTCTCGAGAACACCCCAATCCAGTCATTAAAAGCTCCCTTTCAGCAGCCACTTCCGTTTTTAAGTATCTCTCCCAAGCGAAATCCCATTCTTCTTGCCCACCAGTTCGAATTGCATAACAATAAACCGTTCCTCTTAAATTTGCAGAAATCCTGAAGGATAAAACAAAAAATTATTAAGTAAAAAATATTTCAGGAAAGTAAAAAGAAATATTTACGGATTATTTCGATCAGGATCTGCAGAACTCCTCCACTTTTGGAATTCATTAATACAATTAATAATACAATCTTTATAACCCAACTTGCAAGCTGTCATCAATAATAAAGCTCGGGTTTGGGTTAAAAGTGGCGAATCTGAGGGCTTTTCGTAAAATCCGATGTCCTCGTAGAGGTTTCGAAGTAAATATAAGGCGTATTTCTGAAACGATTTAATATGTTAGAATTATAATTTTAAAAAATTCCTGGAAGCCGTATTTATTGAAATGAAGGAATGAGACTTGTTTTAAATTAAAGCTTGAAGCTTTCTCTTTAAGATGGTGTATAATAAGTGTTGGGTTGGATTGGAAAAATATTGAGAAAAAAAATGTTGAAGCAAAACTTACATTTTCGTATAATTTAAAACTGTCAAAAAAGATGATAATTTAAAAATTCCTGGAAGCCGTATTTATTGGAATTGAGGAATGACACTTATTTTAAATTAAAGCTTAATGTTTTCTCTTTAAAATGGTGTATAATAAGCGTTGGGTTGGATTGGAAAAATATTGAGATAAAAAATGTTGAAATAAAACTTACATTTTCGTATGATTTTAAAGTGTTAAAAAAGATGTTAATTTAAAAATTCCTGGAAGCCGTATTTATTGAAATTAAAGAATGAGACTTGTTTTAAATTAAAGCTTAAAGCTTTCTCTTTAAGATGGTGTATAATAAGTGTTGGGTTGGATTGGAAAAATATTGAGAAAAAGAATGTTGAAGCAAAACTTACATTTTCGTATAATTTAAAACTGTCAAAAAAGATGATAATTTAAAAATCCTGGAAGCCGTATTTATTGGAATTGAGGAATGACACTTATTTTAAATTAAAGCTTAATGTTTTCTCTTTAAAATGGTGTATAATAAGCGTTGGGTTGGATTGGAAAAATATTGAGATAAAAAATGTTGAAATAAAACTTACATTTTCGTATGATTTTAAAGTGTTAAAAAAGATGTTAATTTAAAAATTCCTGGAAGCCGTATTTATTGAAATTAAAGAATGAGACTTGTTTTAAATTAAAGCTTAAAGCTTTCTATTTAAAATGATGTATAATAAGTGTTGGGTTGGATCGGAAAAATATTGAGAAAAAAAATGTTGAAGCAAAACCTACATTTTCGTATGATTTAAAAGTGTCAAAAAAGACGCTAATTTAAAAATCCTGGAAGCTGTGTTTATTGAAATTAAGGAATGAGACTTGTTTTAAATTAAAGCTTAATGTTTTCTCTTTAAAATGATGTATAATAATCGTTGGGTTGGATTGGAAAAATATTGAGAAAAAAATTATTGAAACAAAACTTACATTTTCGTATAACTTAAAGGTATCAAAAAAGATGCTAATTTAAAAATTCCTGGAAGCCGTATTTATTGAAATTAAGGAATGAAACTTATTCTAAATTAAAGCTTAAAGCTTTCTCTTTAAAATGATGTATAATAATCGTTGGGTTGGATTGGAAAAATATTGAGAAAAGAATTTTTGAAACAATACTTACATTTTAGTATTATCTAAAAGTATTAAAAAAGATGCTAATTTAAAAATTCCTGGAAGCTGTGTTTATTGAAATTAAGGAATGAGACTAATTTTAAATTAAAGCTTAATGTTTTCTCTTTAAAATGATGTATAATAAATATTGGGTTGGATTGGAAAAATATTGAGAAAGAAAATGTTGAATGAAAACATACATTTTCGTATAATTTAAAAGTGTCAAAAAAGATGCTAATTTAAAAATTCCTGGAAGCCGTGTTTATTGAAATTAAGGGATGAGACTAATTTTAAATTAAAGCTTAATATTTTCTCTTTAAAATGATGTATAATAATCGTTGGGTTGGATTGGAAAAATATTGAGAAAAAAAATGTTGAAACAAAACTTGCATTTTCGTATAACCTAAAAGTGTCAAAAAACAGGCTAATTTAGAAATTTCTGGAAGTCGTATTTATAGAAATTAAGGAATGAGACTTATTCTAAATTAAAGCTTAAAGTTTTCTCTTTAAAATGATGTATAATAATTGTTGGGTTGGATTGGAAAAATATTGAGAAAAAAATTATTGAAACAAAACCTACATTTCCGTATGGTTTAAAAGTGTCAAAAAAGATGCTAATTTAAAAATTTCTGGAAGCTGTGTTTATTGAAATTAAGGAATGAATGTTATTTTAAATTAAAGCTTAATATTTTCTCTTTAAAATGATGTATAATAGATGTTGGGTTGGATTGGAAAAATATTGAGAAAAAAATTGTTGAAACAAAACCTACATTTTCGTATAACTTAAAAGTGTCAAAAAAGATGCTAATTTAAAAATTCCTGGAAACCGTGTTTATTGAAATTAAGGAATGAGGCTTGTATTAAATTAAAGCTCAAAGCTTTCTCTTTAAAACGATGTATTGAGATCGATATCTTGATTGTGAAAATGTATTCGAAACAATCTGATATTAATCACTCTTAAAGTAAGGTAAATTTTAAAAGAATCCAAAAATTTAAAAAATCGCTCTGACTTTGTTTATAAAGTTGCAGAAATGATTTATATCTCAAATTAAAGCTAAATATTTCCTTTTTAAAATGATGTATAACTTATTAAGATTTATGAAAAATGTTGGGAGATATGCTTAAAATTGGAAGTTCTAAATTATGACTTTTTTATAAAATCAACAATACCAAACTAAACTTTAAAAAATCATTCTAAGCTTATTTCTAGGAATAAAGAAATGATTTATATCACAAATTAAAGCTAAAGATTTACCTTTTAAAATGATATATCACACGTTTCATTTTATGGAAAATCCTTGGAAATATAGCTTAAAAATTGGAAAAAAGTGAATTCATATTTAAAAATTAATATCTCAATAATTACAAGATATTTTCAAAATCCGCTTCTTTCATTGGATAGCTTATGATTTGTTCAACAAGTGCTGATAATTTTATAAGAAATTATTAAACCTTCAATTTATTGCGATTTTTTGAAAATGATAGACAATATACAAATATTTTAACATTTTGAAATTAAGCTTAAAATGTAAAAAAATCTAATAATTTTTATGATTCAACCCAACATGTTTCATACATCATTTTAAAGAGAAATGTTTCAGTTTTAATTTAAAAGAACTCTCATTCCTTCATTTCCATAATTAACCCTTCCACAGGTTTTTAAGTTTCACCTTGTATTTTGACATTTTGAAATTAAGCTTAAAATGTAAAAAATCTAAGAATTTTTATGATTCAAGCCAACATGTTTCATACATCATTTTAAAGAGAAATGTTTCAGTTTTAATTTAAAATAAGTCTCATTCCTTAATTTCAATAAATACGGCTTCCAGGAATTTTTAAATTAGCATCTTTTTTGACACTTTTAAATTATACGAAAATGCAAGCTTTCCTTCAACATTTTTTTTCTCAATATTTTTCCAATCCAACCCAACACTTATTATACATCATTTTAAAGAGAAAATATTAAGCTTTAATTTAAAACAAGTCTCATTTCTTAATTTCAATAAACACAGCTTCCAAGAATTTTTGAATTAACATCCTTTTTGAAACTTAGATTATGCGAAAATAGCATGTTTTGCCAAAATTGATTCCAAACGCCTTTACTGAGTCTGTTTTGACAGCATTTTAATTCTGTCATAAAGTTTCAACATTTTTGACTTCTTGGGGCACAAAGGGTTAATTTTGCTGATTATTTCAACTGGGCAAATTAACAACAAATTTTGCCTACTATACAAGTCGATATCTTCGTTGTCTTTAGAGATAGCCAATTATTAAATACACCATAAGAAAGCCTAATCTTTTTCGTTTTGTCTTGTAAGTATCATAATATCAACTGCGGAAGAGAATAATACACCTGAAAATAATCAAAATTCAAGCTCGTGTGAAACCGTTATGGAACCAAAGTTAAAAAAAAGCTTTATTAATTTGAGCAGAACACACTTTTAGTTAGCTAAGTACAGTGTGTTAATTAATTATCGTATCCAACGTCATTATTATTACAAGTATGCAACCACTATCACAGTATCGGTATTGCAATACGCAAATCGCGATATTGGTTGCATACTTGCAATGATGACGTCATATTTGATTAGCCTATCAGAGAGAAAATTTAATTCTCTACATATCTTCACTAAATGTTCCTATACCTATCAGTTATGGTTTTTGAATTATTGCGGAATTAATCAAAATCATGCATAAAATGGTAGATTTTGTTTATTAGTACTTAGTAGGTGTATTTTTGAACACCCTGTATGCATAAAAATATTTTCGGTTTATAGTGTGTTTAATTTCCTACAACTTTTATCTAAAGAAACATTTCGTATCTCGGCTCATTTGTAATTTATGTGCTTTTGTAGGATAACTGTATACAGGTGTCGTACAATAAATGGTGAAACTTAAAAAACTGTGGAAGGGTTAATTATGGAAATGAAGAAATGATTTTGGTATCAAATTAAAGCTGAAACATTTCTCTTTAAAATGATGTATGATACATGTTGGGTTGAATTATAAAAATTATTAGATATAACGTTTTTTTTACATTTGAAGCTTAATTTCAAAATGTCAAAATACAAGGTGAAACTTAAAAAGCTGTGGAAGGGTTAATTATGGAAATTAAGAAATGATTTTGGTATCAAATTAAAGCTGAAACATTTCTCTTTAAAATGATGTATGATACATGTTGGGTTATATTAAGAAAATTATTAGATAAAGTATTTGTAACAATTTCCACTTAATTGCGAAATGTCAAAATTTAAAGTTAAATTTCAAAAAATTGAGGAAGGGGTATTTATGGAAATTAAG